GCATCTATTGGCCAAACAGTGTTTTATTAATCAACCAATAAAAGAAACGCATGTACAGAAGGACACCCTCCATCAGGTTGGCATGCAAAATAAATGAAAATGTTATTGAAATAAAATATAAAAGAGGAAATGTAATTAAAAGTAAACTCCTTTATGTTCAAAATACCAATGTTGAGGGAGAGGGAACTGGGATTGACATGTGAAGCAAGCATTTTTCTAATTAAAAAAAAAAAAGCCGGGCGGTGGTGGCACACACCTTTAATTCCAGCACTCGGGAGGCAGAGGCAGGTGGATCTCTGTGAGTTCAAGGCCAGCCTGGTCTACAAGAGCTAGTTCCAGGACAGTCTCCAAAGCCACAAAGAAACCCTGTCTCAAAAAAACAAAAAAGAAAAAACTACTAAATTCCTAATTGTTATTATTATTCTAACTGAAGATACTTTTTCTTTTGTTAATTCTAGGCTGCATCTATATCAAAGGATCCCAAGTGCCAGAAGCATGCCTACCGGAGAATGTTAGTACATAATCATCAATGTAGAGATGTGGATATGCAGAGCACCTGCAAAGCTTTCATCAAGGACAAACCTAGATTCAAGAGAAACCTGTGAGACTACATGGTAATTTAGTATCCAAAAGGAAAATGCCTTTAGATGTACAGTTTGAGGAAGTATCTTCACAAAGAAGTAAAATCTTTGTGACTTCTAAACCTCTAGAGAAATCCTGACACTCTAGTAAATACTCTCTGCCTTCTGAATGTACCCAAGTATAAAATAAAGTTATTTTCTCTTTTCTGTCTAAGGAACCCAGAAAGTCTGAGCAAATCTGCCTGCAGGGCCAAGTTTCAACTTTTGCTAGAATGGATTTGGCAGTCCTCCCAACAGAAATGTGAAGAGAGCTTGTCATTTTGTCTCATTCATTACAATCACTGAGGGACCTTGTCTGAAACTAGTGTTTCGAGTTTGGTCAAAACCCAGAGCTCAGTGGATATCTCAATTACAAGATCAGCTCTTAAACCTCCCAAACCTGGCTTCCTGTCTCAGAAATAAGCCAGATTGTGGGATTCATTTCTTCCTGCCATCTTTAATGCCTTATTACTTGAAAGACGAATTTGAAGAAATGAAACTATAAAGTTAAACCAATGTAGTTGTAGTTAATGCATTCTTTTTGTTTGTTTGTTTCCAATTTTATTTGATGTTTCCAAATGTAAAAAAGAAAGTCAATATCCTTACACCAGCTCAAATGAGACCATCACAAATAAGACCATACAAAGCAGTTCTTCCTTTTCTGCTACATACAATGTGATTGACAAAGAACTGGATGGCATGTGCTTGGTGGGAAAATGCCATTTCTTTACAAAAACACCACACAGGGCGGTTTCTATCTTTCTGCTTTGTTTTTTAAACTTAGGCACACGGAACTGAAGAATTTAGCTGCCCCATTTTATTCAGAGATTCCACAAATAAGCACAAACAGCAGTTTCGGCACTGCACACTGCAGAGGGCTGAAATGGTAGATATTACTTTTAGTAGATTCAACTGATTTTGGAAGAGAACTGAATCACTTGCCCTAGTTCTTTTCCTCTATAATCTTGCTGGTCTGGGTCCCAGATGAGTAAATGGGGAGCCCCTAGGTGAACTTGAAAAATGAAGCTGCATTCTGTAAATTCTTTGCTATTGCATAGACTAAAGAGAGTTGGTTTGCTACATGGCACTGAAGAAAGTCCTGACCCGGGTGGCCTGGCTTAATCCAAATGTTTCTGACCAAAGAAATTATACAACAATATTTATAGGCTAACTTTAAAGAGATGGTTGACATTAATACTGTACATATTTTACATGGCAATACACAGTCCAAGAGTTTATAAAAATAAATCCATGTACTATTACCTCTCAGAATATCATGTACATATGAATGAACTCCAAGCACTTGTGATGGTTTGTTAGCTGGAAGCAGTGTTCTATACAAAGAAATCCAGTTTCTCTCTTGTGTTTAGTACATAGAGAAATTGCAGAGATTTGTGAGGGGGAAAAGTCTTGGCAACTGATAGAAAAATGTCAATCTGTGGGCTTTAAAATGTTTCCTTTACAAAAACAAAAGGCCAGAATACATGACCTTTGTACAAAGAAAAATAAAAGGTCTGAACGATCATGTGTGATCACACTACCTAATTCAGAATGAACGCTACTGGTTGAGTTTTCCTACTTTACTCATTACTGTGACAGCACTGATTTGTAAACTAACGTTTTTTATTTAGTTCTGCTGCATTTGTGGCAGAAGATCTCCACAGTTTTCCTTACATCCAAGGACCATTTTCAGCAGTGGTTACATTTTAAAGGTTAACAAGTTACAGAACACATGTACTTCCTGTTTTATGCCTGCCAGTTAGAGTATTTACAATAGGTTAACAATGGCTACATAAAGACCTATCTCTTCCTCTTCCTTATCCCACATCTGTGGAAAGCTTTCCCCTCCCCCTTCACTTCTGACCTCATGAAGTATGGGAGTTTCAGACCAGGCCCTTTTCACAGGATGGCCAATTTTGAGCAAAGACAAGGTGTAATAACTTGACTCACATGGTCCAGTTCCCCCAGTGACAAACCACTCATTGACACTCAGGAAACTGCAGATATTCAAATGTGCCCTCTGCCTTAGGCCTGGAACAGCTGAACAGCAATGGCCATTTCCTTTAGCTGTGATGCAGTCAGCACTGACTGGAACTGAAGGCTAGATTCTAATCCTGCAGAAAACTGATTGCTTAACTGAACACGTGTCACTAAATCAGAAACTGAAAATGCATTTTAAAAGCAGTCTCCATTCAGTGAAATGTGGCCTTAGTATAGTCTATGTTACAAGGATTATAAAGGGAACTGGCAACTGAGCATGCTAAATAATTTCTATAAATACAGTGTTTTGTGGAGTTTTTTTGTTTGTTTTGGTTTTTCGAGACAGCGTTTCTCTGTATTGTTTTTGGAGGCTGTCCTGGAAAGCTCTGTAGAACAGGTTGGCCTGGAACTCACAGAGGTCCACCTGCCTCTTAAATACAGTTTTCAGGATGAGATGCACTCAACCACATGCAAGTTGCTGACAGTATTTCCCTAAAATGCCGAGCTCTCTATATTTTATATTGAATCACTACGGTGTTGTTAGAGGAGAAACAGTCCTAGTAGGATGACAGTGACATAATACTGGCTGTGAACACTCAAACAAATTCCTGGAAATAGTGAACTGAAATACTTTGTCAAAGGCTACAGGACCATGCCTGTCCCGGGACCAAACGTGGAGCGGAGACCTGTGAGGAATGAAAATAGTGGGGCAAGAGGCGTGAGAGAAAAGACCACAAGACAGGATTCTGATCAAGTGGCAACTTTATTTTTTGCTGGGCTAGCTATATAGTTGGTGAAGCAGGTTTGGAGGGGGTAGGTTTTGGCGGTAGTTGGCATGGAACTGCAAGGAAGGCAGGATGTTAGAAGACCACAGAAAAAGAATGTCTAGTGGGGTGCAAAAGGTGCAAGAAAGGTTGCCTTGGTAACTGTGCCTTGTCGTTAGCCTAAAGGTTCTGTTTAGCCTCCGGGGTTGAGCATGTTAGGGGAGGTTTGTTTCTTGTTAAGGGCAACTATAAGGTTTCTAGGAACTGGTTGTATAACTGTTCTAGTTAGCTTGGTCCTGTGGCCAGAAGTTCTGTATGTCCTAGGTGGCAATCTGAGACTGGCTCCCAACACATACCAAAGAAACTAGCCCAAATGTGCAGTTTACAATGGAGATTCCGATCCTCTTACACAAGTTTTGGGGTAAATATATTTCTTTAAATACGGAGAATCTTTTCATTAATTCCCAACAAAGATCTGGTGACTATTTGATACTGTCAGAAAAAGGGGCCCATGTGAAAATATATAACCAACAACTTATTTGACTTGGCAAAATAAATCACAGAATGATGTCAAGTGGACAAAAGTGGAGGAAAAAAACTTTCATTAAAAAACGAAAACCAAAGTAAGGCGGTGGAAGGGTTACCATAATCTCACATGGCTTTGGCATCTTAAAATTGTTATGCTATTTTGTTGTTTACTCTAAAAGATTTGAAAGCAACTGAAACCCATGCAAATTACTAGAAACTCCCACACACGGCAAATTCAGAGTTTGCCAGCAGCAGGCAGATGTGTCAGAAGAAAAGTAAAAAAAGCCTCTCCCTGTGATATCTGTGACATGACACGGTGGAGAGAGGGTGCCGGCTCTCTATCTTATACTGGATGGCACCCCAGAAGGCTGTGCAGCAGTCACAAACAAGGCATTGTTATCTGGGAGGGAAGGGACCGTGGAGTTTCTATTGGTTGGAGGACACCCCAGCTTTAGTTTTCCCAGATAGTCTGCATGGACAGGCTTATGGCACTGAAGAACTTTGATTGCATCTTCTACTTTGAACCACTCTCTTCTTTCCGATATTGACAGAATCTTCCCAGTGTTCCAATATCTCAGTGACTGTCAGAACATAAACATATGTTCTGTGCTTCTGGTCTTGGTTCTGCTCGAATATTCCCAGGAGTCTGCCCAATTTTCCTTTGACTCCAGCCTCTTCATACACTTCTTTCACAGCAGCGCCGCCAGGCTCCTCCTCCGGCTCCATCCCTCCTCCTGGGACAATTCACTGGCCTGGGTACCCAACAACAGCACCTAGTCCTCCTGCTCGCTGCAGCAGTACAAGCAGGCCGCCTGCTTCTTAAAGCCCTCGCGGTCGTACATCCGCATCTGGTTGGGCTTGAACTTCATCCTAAAGCCGGAATCCTGCTGCCGCTGCTCCACCGTTGGGACCCCGCCGCCGGGGGAGTCAGGCACTGCAGCAGGGGAGCAGCGGTGGAAGCGCCTTCTCTGCTCTCCAAGGATCCCGCTGCCTGCCGCCTTCGCCAGCACCACTGCCCTAATGAGGCATTCTTATTTTAAAATTTAAAAAAAAACACCACGACTTGAGTAATATGTTTGATATTTATTTCAAATTTAAAGGCAATAAAAGATATTTCAGGAAAGCCAATAGAAAAAATTAATCATTAAAATGACTCAAGGAAGTACTACAGGGTTAGAATGGAATGTCTAAATAAGAGTAAATTATTACCAATACACAAAAGTATAAGAGTATTTTTGATGCTGCTAATGGCTAATATTTACTGCAAAGAAGATAAACGTTCAAGATGAAAGGCACAGTCATCAGGATAGGTAGTTAAGGGAAATAAAATTGATGATGATTCATTCTGTTCCAGAAATTTCTATTGTAGATGACACAAAAACATCCAATTTCACCAATCCAAAATCATGAGGATATCATCTAAAGATATGTCAGTGTAAATATCAAAAAGCAAAGCACGTGCACCTGTAAAACAAAAATATAAATTAAGAAGGTTCCACAAGAAGTTGAACAATGAGGTTTCTCTGTCTTATTCAGAGGAAGAAAATAGACATCATGAGACCTTCAGCCCTCAGTGATAAAACTCAGTAAATAGGAAGGTAGAGGCCTGTTATCCCAGTTATCTTCAGGAAGCTGATGAAGAAGGATGAAGAATCCAATGCTCATCTCAGCTCTGAAAGTCTATTACAAAAACAGATGATAGATAGATTGTGTTGAAGGCCCTAAATAAAGATAGCATAACAAAAGCCATCTTAATATGCCTACTGCATTCTTAGAGACTAACACTTCGTTAAGTTTCTATTTCTCTGTGTCTGCTTATCTTCCTGTACAGCGTATTTTCAGGGCCTGCAGTCCAGAGTTCCCCAGCTGCAGACTTGTCTCCTTGCAACATATCCTATAAAAGAGAACTTCTGCTCCCCCACCCTTCTGCCACCTGCCCTGCTTAAGCCCTGTTGATAACTTGTAATAAATGAGACTTGATCAGAATCCTGTCTTGTTTCTGTCTCTCGAGTCTCTTGTCCCCCCAGTCTCGCTCTCTTCCATAGGGTCCCCGTTGACTGACCCTGCAAGATGGTGTGGGGCCCAGGTATGAGGGCTACAGTGAAGAATTCAGCTGAGGAGAGCTGGCCACATCGAAAAGAAAAGAAACAGAGGGAGTTACAAGACAGGAGCCTGTGGAGCCTGCCTCAGCAACAAAGACCTTGGTAAGTGAGTGACAATATGGGGCAAGAAATGAGTTAACATCAACTGTTTGTTGAAGGCCTCATAAAGGCACTTAGGGCACAAAGGATCAGGCTTAAAACACTGGAATTGATAAACTTTTTTGTCTTTATTAAGGAAGTTTGTCCCTGGTTCCCCACTGAAGGGACCATAGATGAAAAAAGGTAGAAGAGAGTAGGAGATGCTTTAAAGGATTACTATAAAACTTTTGGCCTTGAAAAGATTACTATTACAGCATTTTCATTTTGGAATCTAATTAATGAAATTATTTCCCAGAAACAGCATGACCCTTTTGTAGCAAATATAATAAAAGAAGGAGAGAAATCTTTAAAACCTACTGAAACAGAAAAAGCAGAACAGCCTAGTGAGGAGCAGGACCTTATGTCATTTGATAGTGACTCGGAAGAGATTTAAAAGACTAGCCCACAAACCCAGGAAAAGATTGTAAAAAAAGATACACTAACTTAAACCACGACCAAATAAGGATGTGGTAGCCAAACTCAAAATTAAAAAGATATATCCCTCACTTAAAAAATTATCCAGAAGCCGAGCAGTGGTGGTGCACGCCTTTAATCCCAGCACTCAGGAGGCAGAGGCAGGCGGACCTCTGTGAGTTCGAGGCAGGGCTGGACCAACAGCCTCCAAAACAATACAGAGAAACCCTGTCTCATAAAAACCAAAAGAAAAAAAAAGAAAAGAAAAAATTATCCAGAAATCAACAGCCTATGGAAGATAGTCTTAGTGACTCAGCATGGGAAGATTTGGAGGAAGAGGCAGCTAAATATCATGACCCGGACTGGCCTCCATTAGCAGAACATTGGCCTCTGCCTTATAAGCCTCCTCCAACAGCTCCCTCTCTGGCTTGCCCAGTTTTAAACCCTCAAAAGAAGCTACAGGACAAAATTCATATCTTAAAAAGCAGATTCGATTAGAAATAGAACATCAAGACCTGATTACCCAGCTAGAGAATTTAAAAAACAGGCAAGTCCACCAACACCTCTCAGAAAGGTGCTGCCAAGACACCTCCTAAGGCACCTCTTATCCATCCACCAACATCAGACAGAACCAGAGAATATGACTTTTCCAGTAACAAAGACAACAGATGCACAAGGCACTGCCTGTAGACATCACACTGGTTTCAATTTCAGTGTAGTCAAAGAAGTCAAAACCGAGGTCTCTCAATATGGAGCTATGGCTCCTTATACTACTGCTATCATAGAATCTATGACAAACAGTTGGCTTACTCCCTCCGACTGGTACACTTTAACTAGAGCAACCTTAGCAAGGGGAGATTATCTTTTATGGAAGCAAGAATTTGAAGAAGCTTGTAAAGAAACTGCAAAAAGAAATGCCCAGGCAGGCAACAACTGGAATGCAGATATATTAATGGGTGAAGGAAATTATGAGGCAGAAGATGTTCAAATGGAATATGAACCTGGGTTATTTGCCTAAATTCAAACAGCTGCCAACAGAGTCTGGAAGAGACTACTTGCTAAAGGGGACATGAGCTTTTCCTTTACAAAGATCAAACAAGGGCCGGATGAGCCTTTTTCAGACTTTGTCCACTGCTTGCTAACAGCAGCAGGAAGAATTTTTGGAAATACCGATTTAGGCACTGATTTTGTTAAGCAATTGGCTTTTGAAAATGCTAACTCTGCCTGCCAAGCAGCAATTCAACCATATTGTGAAAAAACAAACAAACAAAAACCAGATCTTTCTGGCTATATTCGTCTCTATGCTGAGATAGGTACAGCTCAGCAAGGACTCACCATGACAGCTGCTATACAAGGCACTACTGTTAGACAGTTCTTGTCTAATTAGGGCAGAAACAAATGTTTTAGTTGCGTCGAGTCAGGCCACTTTTCAAAAAACTGCCCACAAAACTCAAAGATTGATCTTTTACTATGCCCTTACATCCAGATGATCAAAAATGTTTTGCTTTTAGTTTCCCTTCTCCAAATTTTCAATCACCCATGCACCGGTATCAGTGGTGTGTTTTCTCCCAAGGTATGGCTAATAGTTCCACACTTTGCCAATCTTTTGTAGCAGCCACCATCCAAATGGTAAGGAACACATGGCCACGATGTATATTATACACTATACTAATGATATCCCTTTAGCGGGACAAAAAGGGGAAGAAGATTGGGAGGAGATAGATAGATAGATACATACATACATACATAGACCTTTGTGTCTCATCCAAAATATTTGGGGATGCAGCCTAGAATAGGGTCAAGTTAGCTTGGACTTTTACAAATTTTAAAATAAGGACAATGTGCATTAATTTTCCTTCCAATATTTCAAAGTTACTTGTCTTCTCTGATGATGAAATGATTGACATGCACTCACACAGCATCACCAATAAAGATCACTGAACCAGATGCCAAGCAAAAGTTCAGACACGAAGGAGCAGAGAACAATATTTAAAGATTCCTCATAACCCATCTTCTGAAAGCAAACACCATACCCTGTCACTTTCCTTCATGCAGGGGAAAGCAGTGCAATGGAGGCCTCACAGTTCTTCATTTTTACAATGTTTGTTTCCTAGAGTAGTTTTTCAGTGGATCACATAAAACTTGCCAATTTTATAACATGATGCCCAATATATGGCTAGAGTATATAAAGAACTCACATGAAAATACACTGGCACTATCACAGCCCACAGTCTTCATCAGAATTGTTGAGTTCCTCAGTGGATTCTGTCCCTTTGGCAGTCCTAGTGGGTACTTTATTAGCCACATTGCTGCTTTTATCAACTGATCTCTGTGCAGAGGCAACTGAAATGAGGTGAAATAACAATTCTTTTTCAGAATGATATTGGTGCCACTAAGACTTGCACTTCCATTTTTATTCTGAATTCATCAATTCTGTTATTTGTTTAGTTTCTGTAAGTTGTCTCAGATGATCAGATGTGAGAATTCCCATGTACATAAACAAAATAATGATAATTATAATTATATGAAAATGGAGATGTAACTAGGTACTAATAAGATGACAGGAAGTCCAAACCTGTAGGCATTCCTAAATTGATGGCCCACAGAATAGATAACTGTAAATACTATCCCACAAAATGTGAATTCAAGTGAGAATCTTTACTTACAAGAGGCCAGTACAGCAGAGACACAAATTGACACAGAGAGTACGAAGAGCTTCATGGTGATGAGTTGGAGAGCAGAAGCACAGCAGTTAAGCTCCCAGCCAAGACTAGGAAAACTCCAGCCATGCACACCACAGACACCTGGTATGTGTAGAGTGTACCAACCAGAAACTGCCACGACCTGGTGAGTGAGTGACAGGAAAGGATGGGAAGCAGAGAAAATGAGAATGATGAACACTGCCAGAAGCCATTTAGAAAGGTCATAACTTCAAATGTTTGACAGATCTTTGACTCGAACAATGCAAGTATTCAAACAATTTCCTAATAAAAATTGCTGGCTTTCTCTTGTTTTAGACAAACTGCTGCCATTATAAACTATCTAACAAGTTGGAGACATCCAACATAGTATTCTTGCTCCTTTGAAAACAGCAGAAGATAGAAACTTACAGAATTCTCATCTTCATGTTATCTGGAGTCAGCCAGGCTTCAAAGTCTACAAACCATGGTGCCCCCCACTGTATTTGTAGTTAAGGGTCATTTGATCACACAGGTAGTGTGAGCCCAGCACCAATCTGAAGTCTAAAACTGCTTTCACAGAATTAAGGAAATTCTTGTATAAAATTGAACATCTAAGAGAAAAAGACAGGAAAGCAAATTCAAATTTCTTAATGATTGCATACACTGAGTCAGTTAATTGAACATTTTCTTTGTTTTGATGTTATAGTTCCTATAGCCAAGCAAGTCTTGAACTCCTGACTCTCCTGCCTTCACTGAGGTTCCAAGTGTATGGTAAAGGGTGCCTGACCTGGCCTTCCCCTGTAATCAGATTGATGACTACCTCAATTATCATCATAGAACTTTCATCCAGTAACTGGGGGAAGCAGATGCAGAGTTCCACAGCTAAACACTGGGCTGAGTTCCCAGAGTTGAAAAGAGAGAAGAGCAATAATATTAACAAAGGGATCAAGACCATTTTGAGAATACTCACAGAAATAGCTACCCTGAGCTAGTAGGAGTTCACTAACGGTGGACTGACAGCAGGGGGGCCTGCATAGGACCAAAGCAGGCCCTCTGAATGTGGGTGACAGTTGTGTGGCTTTGGCAGTCTGTGGGGCCACTGGCAGTGGGACCAGGATTTATCCCTAGTGCTTGAACTGGCTTTTAGGAGCCCATTCTCTTTGGAGAGATACCTTGCTCAGCCTAGATGTGGGGAGGGGATGCCTAGGACTTGCCCCTAAGTGATATGCCAGACTTCATTGACTCCCCATGGGAAGCCTTGTCCTCTCTGAGTAGTGAATGGTAGTGGGGCAGGGGAAAGGTAGGGAGAGCAGGAAGAGGGGAGGGAGTGGGAACTGGGATTGATATGTAAAGTGAGAAAAGATTGTTTTAATTTTTTAAAAAATGATTAAAGAAAAAAAACAAGATTTAAATTTGATTTCCTCACCTTTTGCTCTTATATTTTCAATTTTATATAGGAATTGTTGAAAGCCTGTGAAGGCAGATTTATTCTTTGGATCGATGTTGGATTTATACTTCTTGGATGATCAGATGACCCTAACTGCATATACACTGAGAACACTATGGTTTGTAGACTGTGCAGCCTGTCTGTCTCCAGATAACACGTTGATTCTGCTACTCTACCCTAATTACTCATGTAAATAAAACATGGAGCTGAAGAGTCCATACATTTCTAAAATCTGCTGTCTTCAAAGTAGCAAGAAGACTGTTGGACATCTCCAACTTCTTAGATAGTTTATAATGTAACAATGGTTTATCTCAAACAAGATAAATTCAGTAATCTTTGTTAGGAAACGTATTGACTAGACACCTTTGTTGTTAGAATCAAGTATCTGTCAGATATTTGAAGTTGTGACCTTTCTAAATGGCCTCTGGCTGTGTGGATGATTTCCATTTTCCCTGCTTCCCATCCTTTCCTGTCACTCACTCACCAGGTCGTGGCAGCTTCTGGTTGGTGCACTCTACACACACCAGGTGTCTGTGGTGTGCGTGGCTGGAGTTTTCCTAGTCCTGGTTGGGAGCTTCACTGCTGTGCTTCTGCTCTCCCACTCATCACCATGAAGCTCCTCATACTCTCTGAGTCAATTTGTGTCTCTGCTGTACTGGTCTCTTGTTGTAAGTAAAGATTCTTATTGAACTTGAATTATTGTGGTGCAGTATTTAAAGTAACCTATTCTGAGGGCCATCAATTTAGGGTTGCCTAAATGTTTGTATTTTCTGTCCTCTTTCTAATAACTAGGTACATCTCCATTTTTAATTTAAATAATTTTCTTATAATAATAATAACCATTTTTATTATTATGTTTGTATTTGTGGTGACTCACACATGGCAAACACGAGTGGATAAATGAGACAAAATACAGTAACTAAATATATGACAGAATTGATGAATTCAGAATAAAAATGGATGTGCAAGCCTTAGTGGCACCATTATCATTCTAACGAAGAGTTGGCATTTCACCTAGGGCTGTTCTCATTTCAGTTGCCTCTGCAGTGAGCTCAGTTGATGAAAGCACCATTATGGCTGATAAAGTGTTCACTGAACCCACCAAAGAGACAGAATCCACTGAGAAGCATAAAGACCCTGATGCATACTCTGTGGAATGTGCTAATGAAAATGTATTAGCATGTGAGTCCTTTATTTGACTTTTGGAATCCCTAGGTTCCCCATGGCCATAGAGACTTGCATTTGGGGGAAAGATAGAAAGTCAGAGGAAAACAGGGGAAGGGGTTAAGGGTTGAAGGAAGTTTAGGACTCTTATTTCATTCACCTTGCTTTTAAATATTTGTATTCTTCCAAATTAAGCTGTTATGTAAATGTCAGGAAGGCCAGAGGCTGAAGTACCAAAGTTATCAGCTTTAACAACATTGTTCTTTCAATGTTAGGATTAGAAAAAAAAATAGTTCATAGTAGAGATAGTTGAAAGCACAAAAGCTTTCTTTGTAGTATGGTAAATGCATGTGACTTTTATTTGTCTTAATTCTCTTTTCTTTGCAGACTATTCTGAAAATAGAAATAGAAAAGGGCTTTGTAATGAAGTATTCCATGGATGACTACTTTAGCATGACTTGGGAGATTTCTAAGAGTTTGGAATGTCTTCCAGGAAAATTTTTTATACTGGAATTGTTGTCCTTCAAGCTCAAAGCAATATTAACTATACTATTATACACTATACCCGTATCTCAGGCATCACATCATAAATTTGGCAGATAATATGTTATTCATTAAGAAATTTCTCTAGAAAACAAACATTATAAAAATAAAAAAATATGGGGCTTCCAGTGCACTGCTTCTCCTGCATGAGAGGATAGTAATAGAGCATTACAATAGAAGATATGTTCTGAGAATTCTTCAAGCATTGCTTTCTGCTCTTTCTTGTCTGGGCTTTTGCTTGAGACCTGATTCAGTGATCTGCATTGCTGGATGCTCTTAGTGTATGTCCATCATTTCATTATTAAAGAAGCTGGGCTACTTTGAAATATTGGAAAAAATGCATCATTTCTCATTTGCACAAGTCCAAATGCTAACTTGGCCTCATTCTAGGATGCATCTCCAATTATCTGGAAGGGACACCAAGGTCTATCATCTATCTTGTATTACCTATCCATTCTCATCTATCTATCTGCCTTCTATCTAACATCTATCTATCTATATGCCTATATCTACCATTTATCTATTTTGTGACAGAATGGAGCTCAGGTAGGCATGGAATTCTTCATCACCTGCTTCATCCTTCTGAGGATTGGGATATAGGTTTCTGCCTCAGAATATGCTGAATTTCATCATTTCTGCTGAGGGTTGAAATTGACATATTTCTTTTCCTTCCTCTGAATTTATAGATGCTAGTTTTTTAAATTTAAAAAAATCCCCATTTTTCAAACTCTTTTGTAATCTTCATAATTTATGTCTTTATTTTATAGGTATATGTGATGCCATCATATATGTTATAGAAAAGACCATCATATGATATTATGATTTTGGAAAATTGACTATCTTAATGAAATTGGATGATTTTTTGTCTTCTATATTTGACACTTCTGGACAGAATAGATGATCCACTATTTCCTTTCTTCTAATTTCTTATCCTGATACCTGTGTCCTTCATCTTTAACTTTTATCTTCTTTGCATTCAATGCTTGTCATTAGCAGCAACAAAAATACTCATACATATATGTATTTGTGGTGACTGTCACTTATTTGTACTATCCATTGGAAACAATAGATCTTCTGCAATACTTCCATGAGTCCTATTGGTTTTCCTGAGATTTTTTAAAATTTTACATCAACATCAGGCATATTGTTAAAGTCTTGGGCTTTTTGAATAAGAATAATTACCAGGGATTCGTTGATTTCACTTTAGAATTTCATTACTCAAAATTCTTCTATCAAGTGAAAAGAAAATATTCTCCTTATCTGTATTGACTTAAAGTTGGCAGTGATGAAATAAATCCCATAATCTGCTACTTTCTGACACAGGAAGCCATGCTTGGGTTATCTAAGAGCTGATTTTGTATTTAAGGTATACAGTGAGTTCTGGGGTTTGACCAAACTCATAAAATCCACAGTTTCCCTCAGTGTCTATACTAAATGAAACTAAATGACAAGCTTCCTCCCCAATTCTGTTCGGAGTACTGTCAAATCCAGCCCAGAAAAGGCTGTAATATGGTCCTGCAGGCAGATTTGCACAGTTTCTGGGTTCCTTAGACAAAGTAAAAGAACCAACTTTACTTTACATTTGGGTGTATTTAGAGGGCAGAAAGGGTTTACTGGAATTGTCAGGCTATATCTACAGGTTTAGAGGTCACAAGGACACTGCTACTTTGTGAAGATACTTCCCCAAACATTGCATCCAAGTCGTTTTCTTTCTGGATAGTAGATTACCTTGCAGTCTTCCATAGAGCCATGTGAATGCCAAGGGGGAGGATAAATATAATCACATTTTGTCCTTGAATTTAGGTTTGTCTTTGATGAAAGCTTTTACCGGCCATTTGCATAGCAACATTTTCCCATTTCTGCTTATGTACCAACATGGTCAGGCATTCTTTGACTTTAGGTTTCTTGGATGTAGGTACAACCTATAATTGACAACAAAGAAGTGTATCTTAAATTATAATAATAGTAACATTTAGAACTTTTGCAGTATGAACATGAAGGACATTAAAGAAAATCACTAAAGGGTTTCTTTGAATGTATTAATGAATCTTATTTTTTCTTTTTAGAAACAGTAGAAAGGTAAGAATGGTCCAACATCAAAATCTCTTGATAAAATTTATTTAGGTTCAAAATACCATTCTTTGGTGACCACACAACTTTCAGATGATTTTTGACTTGTTCCAATGCATAATCATTTTCATTATACTTCAGTGCTGACATACATGTGTAAGTATGATTATAAGGACAACTAATGGTAAGACAATATTTAATTGCCTGATGAAATAAACACTGTTTTGAAGTTTGTGCAAGATCTATTGAATCAGTATCAGTCTTTTCTAGGACTCTTTCTATTTTTATAACCATGTTTGACTAGTTTGTTTTTAAACTAAGATCCTTGCACATTTTGTTTCAATGCTAAGGTTCCAACTGTGTAAGTTGAAATGATTCCTACTAAAGTATTTCAGCTAACCCTGACCAATGAAGCTTTTAAAATATTTTTTAAATTGTTAGAAATTTTCTAAATATTGCATTTAATCTATTCTGTAAATATAGTATCATTAATTGTGCTATTAATGTATTATCAGGTTCTGTATATAACATGAGCTAAAGAATTACTATACTAAGGACTGGATCTCTTATTAACAGCATATTAGGATTAAATACACAAGACTATGTATGTATAACAAGATCCACTGCTCATCCTATCAGACATAAAAAAGACAGTGTCAAAGGAGTCTTGGTTGTAAAATTACTCTATGAAGTATTGCATTGTGTAGTATATGTCCTCAATTTACTGTGTCTACAATTTTAACTTTTGATCAAATGAGATGAGATGAAAGTAGACCATAGTAGGAAAAAACTTAGATATTCATGAGAAATCTCAAGAGCAGGGATAGAATTCTTGGGAAAAAAAAACAGGTACACCAGGGTTTCTCTGTATTGCTTTGGAGCCTGTCCTGGAACTCGCTCTGTAGACTAGGCTGGCTTTGAACTCACAGAGATCTGCCTGCCTTTGCCTCATGAGTGCTGGGATTAAAGGCATGCACCACCAACGCCTGGCCAGAACATACATTTTTTATGTTAATTTTTATCTTCCAGACAAAAGCTAATGCACTGTGGAAAACCTGTAGAGTACTGATGAACATTTTGTGGTACATTTTTGTGCATCTACTCACTGTACAATTCTAGCATTCATAAAATTTCACTTGTGATTCACTTCTCATATTTTTTGTCTGTTCTCTTTAAAATATCCATGTGTAACACTGTGTGGCTAACATCTAGTATTAGCTAAGTAGATGTGTTACTTTTATTGAAGAATGAAAATGTCTCTAATAAATTATGCTTAAATCAAGCACTAAATGCAAATATAGAGGCTTTAATGATTGCTTATTTGTTTACTTGCAGATAGAGTCCCCACTGCACTATTATATACATTTTAAGACATCTGGAGCTAAATGATCAAGCCAATGACACACTCATGAGGACTGCCTATGTTCTACAATCAAAGGTTTCTCCTGCTTCCCACAACTAACGTATCCTTAAATGACAGCCCAGCATGATTATAAAGGTGATGACAACTGTCCTTTTATCAATTTGTATTTTGTCTCTGATTTTAAATTGATGATAGACAAATAAACTGAATTCTATCACCATATAATTATTATTATACACTGAGAAATCATGGAGAAAAACGAACACCCAAATATCTGTGGTAACTTCTTGGTTCATGTAAAATATTCCTAAAACACGGGGAAGGAAACACACAGCCAGGAAGACAGAATTGGGCCTTTGACATGTACATGAAGCCACCCAGGAAATGGGCAATTAAAGTTACTGCTATTTACTGTGAGTAAGCCAATCACTTCTTACTGAAGAAGAATATTTTCATGGCTAAATTAATGTCTAACAGAAACATATTACTTACCCTTGCTCTTTACTAAACTATAGTGATTAGATGTAGTTTTAGTTTCACAAAGGCCCTTCATGTGTTTGGAGTTTGCAGTCAGACTGGGTAAACTTCTACACATGTCCCAAAGAAACATATATGTGTTGAGATTTTTGCTGTATCACTTCTCAAACAGGGGTTAAGGAGTGTATCTTGAAGGGTTTATTGATGAATATAATGAAGTTAGATCATATGGAATTATCTATAAATTGATGAAAATATTGTTTTTTATGAAAATAGACTCTTCTCTTGAAGAATGCATCCTGGCCACACAGTTTCCCCTTCCTCCACGCCCCCAGTCCTCCCCCACTTTTTCTCTCCCCCAGATACACTCCCCATCCATTTCCCTTCAGAAAGTAGCAGGTCTTTAAGAGACTACAACCAAACATGACAAAACAAGATACAGTAAGTCAAGTCAAAAACTCTTATATTAAAGATGGATGAGGCAACCAAACAGGAGTAAAAGAATACCAAGCATAGGCAAGAAAGTCAGAAGCATGTCTTCTCCCACTGTTAGAAGTTTCACAAAACACTAAGCTAACAGACATTATGCAGATTCTACATGCCCCATACTTGAAGCTTCAGTCTCTGTGAATCCATATGTACCATGTGCCTTTTTTTTTTTTTTTTTTTTTTTTTTTGGTTTTTACGAGGCAGGGTTTCTCTGTATTGTTTTGGAGACTATCGGTCCAGCTCGGCCTCGAACTCACAGAGATCCGCCTGCCTCTGCCTCCCGAGTGTTGGGATTAAAGGCGTGTGCCACCACCACCTGGCTGTACCATGTGCCTTTAGTGTGTCAATTTAATTTCCAGTATGATAGTTTGTGGTCTCAAATAGGAGCACTTTTATTGTCTTCTTTTGTATCTACCTTCTTTGATACTTGGAACTTTCCACAGATCAGCTGGAACTAAAGATTTCCACTTTGGGACTACTCCAGTGTAAACTGAAGACATCTAGACCATCTGCTAGTGTTGTTGAAGATAAGAAGTTAATTTTATGGCCTTGAAGAAAACACTGATGATGCCCAATGTTACTAAATGATAGTATGGTTATAGAATTATTCACTATAAGTCCCTGAGTGGAAAGTGTGGTTCTGCCTTTGTTGAGGCATCCTTACTCCCAACAGTGGCAAAGGAGCAGTAGAATCTGAATAAATTGAAGGCACTCATAGTTGAGGCATTCTTCTTTTTAATTGTTACCTTTCTTCTCCTGTCATTTCCTATTTCTCTTTGGAGATAGAGGGAACAGAACTCATGGCTTACAATATTACAAACCATTTTCCCTATTGAACTGACATCTTGATCTCCAAAAGCAACTGTTAAAAAGTTTTTTTCTGTTCACAAAACATGTTGCAACAAGCACATTGGTTCCATTCCAGTCTCATTTCTAGATAAGGCAATCCACCTTGACGGTCCCTCCTTTGGCCCTGGTTCCAGCTTGGAAGACTCACCTGCATGATTGTCTCAACCATTCCACCAAATATCCATCTCTTCAGGCCCCTTGGTATTTGTTGATGAATACCTTCCTTGCAAGTTCCTGTAGTTGAAGAGCATTTTTTTCCAGAGAGCCTCTCTAACTTCTGTAGCTTGGATTGACCTACAAAAGCTGCATGGCTCATTTGCTAGATCTCAGACACTTCTGTTTTAATGGTGTACTAAAAGTGGGATACTTTGGGTAGCCTCTTAAAGAATTGACTTTGTAGAAAGAAAAGAGGTCATTTGTCTCCCTGGGTCTGGATTGACTTAACTCAGTTATTTGATTTTGTTCTTTTCCCGTGTGTGTGTGTGTGTGTGTGTGTGTGTGTGTGTGTCTGTGTCTGTGTCTGTGTGTCTGTGTGTGTGTCTGTGTGTGTGTCTGGTCTGTGTCTGTGTGTGTCTGTGTGTCTATGTGTGTATGTGCATAAGTGTGTGTGTAGACTGTGTGACACAGGTTTTAAAACTCACAATGACCTTCCTGCCTCTGTATTCAGATTACTGGTACCAAAAGTATGCACTACCACACACAGCTTGAAAAATAATTTTTATAGTCTAGTGTCCTCCATTTACAGTGGCCAGGGAGGCCAGGAGGTGGTGTCAGAACCTCTGATATTAGAGTTACAGATGGCACTGAGCTTCTATGTGCACTGGGAATGGAAACTGGATGCTGTGAAAGAATCTTCATTGCTCTTAACTGCCAAGGTGTTTTCCAGCCTAAGTTTTCTATTATTGATTATGTATCCTGTTCAAGGCAGCCTAGTCAGGGTCAGACAACTGATGCTGATTAAAAAGTGGAATTTTTCTCCATTAGAGAGCATTAGACTCAGGCAAATGTTTATTCAATACAACAGGGTGAGCCAATTATCCATATATATACAGCCAACAAAAATGGATGCAGCAAAATTAAAGTAATTTAAAAAATGGATGCAGCAGGTTGTAGTCATGTATTTCAGCATACTTATTCACCCATACGTAACAAGGAAGAAGTTGGAAGGGATTTGGGAAGGGATGGAATGAAGAGATAAAAGGGGAAAGTGATGTAATATCTTTTAATTAACAATTTAGGGAAATAATTATTAAATAAAAATAGAGGGTCTACATAGATGGTTCAGCAATTAAGAGCTCTGGGTGTTATTACAGAGGACCCAGGTTCCACTCCCAGAACCCACAGGGTAGCTAACCATTTGCTGTTAAATCCAGTCCCAGGCATTTCCTGCCTTCTTGTAGCCTCTGTAGGTACTGTGCACAGGGAAAACACAATACAGCTAATTTATTTTTTAAATTAGAAAAAGGTAAGAATGGAATTCTCTACAGTAATGTCACAGGCCTGAGACAGACAGGAGTTAAAATGAACTCCTTCTGCTCTTATATGAAAGCAACTATGACCCTCCATGGAACAAGCCTGCTCAGAGGAAAAAGCAACTTTATTCTGAGGTTAATATATCTCATAATAATTGTTCATCTGAAAGCAGAGTATACAGTGCTGTTAAGCGACTTTTCATTGAAATTTTCTGTATTTGTATTCTCTGTCTTTTGTATCTGGGAGGATTGTGGCATTGATACAGTTATCTTTTAGATCAAACATCAAGATTTACACAGCTAAGACCTTGTGGTGTCATTTACAGCTAAGACCTTGTGGTATAAGATGAACATGTTAGAGGTATTTCTTTCCAGAATTTTAGTAATTTATATGTGTTCCTGCTTGACATTGAGGTAAGAATGCCCCTAAATGTCTCATCTTTTCCCGTGTGATCATGTTCAGAAGTCAATTTGTCAACTGAGCATGCTTAGGAATAGGCAGAACTCTGCATGAATGTGTCCAGACTTCCTAAGTAAAATCTACATACTTCCTTTGTTTAGGAAAAGCATTGTTTTGGAAATAACTCCCATGCTCTCCTTGACTCCTGCAGGTAAGAAATTTTTTCTCATTTCTTCTGCCTCAGCTGTTGTGATGGCTATTCTTGGCAGTCAAACTGACTACCTCTGGAATTAACTAAAACACAAAGAGTTGGGTACATCTGTGAGGGATTTTGGGGGGGGGGTCGAGATAGGGTTTCTCTGTGTTTTTGGAGACTGTCCTGAAACTAGCTCTTTTAGACCAGGCTGGTCTCAAACTCACAGAGATCCCCCTGCCCTGTGAGGGATTTTTTAAAAAGATTTTGAAATTAAAGACCCACCTTTAATCTGGATCATTTGAAGTAATGAGATCCACCTTTAGCTGCTTGTTGGCTGTGCACACCTTTAACCCAAATACCCCAGAGACAGAGGCAGTTGGAGTTTCTGAGTTTGAGGCCAGCCAGGTATACAGAATGAGCTACATAGATAAACTCTTGTCCTGAAAACACAGACACATACACAGACACACACACCACCACCACCACCACCACCATCACCACCATCTCCAAAAAACAACTACAACGACAAAACAAAAAATAAGATCCACCATTATTCTTGATCACACCTTCTGATGGCAGCCTGCATATATAAAGGATATCTAAGGAGGAAGCTCTCTGTCTCTCTGTTTGCCTGCTTGCCCTAGCTCTGACTACCAACTTCATTCCCTTACTATCATTAGAGCCTACTTCTGTGGAATTTTGGTGAATACTGAAGACCAGCTGAAATATTCAGCTTGATGAACTGAGCAACTGCTGGACTCTTCAAATTTCCATTGGTAGGCAGCCATTGTTGGACTACCTGGATCACAACTTGTGAGACATTCTAATAAATCAACTTCTTATGTACATAGAGAGATTCATTCTACCAGTTTTGATCATACAAAAAAATTAGTAATTCAGTAGTTTTTTTTTTTCCATCTGCCACTGAGGAAGATGTGATGAGAAGCTTCTGTAAGGCAAAGGACAGTCAACAAGACAAAACAGCAACCCACAGAACAGGAAAAGATCTTCACCAAAGATCTTCACCAACCCCACATCTGACAGAGGGCTGATTTCTAAAATATACAAAGAACTCAAGAAGCTAGTCACCAAAACACCAAATGATCCAATTAAAAAGTGGGGTACAGAACTAAATAGAGAATTCTCAATAGACGAATTTCAAATGCCTGAAAGGCACTTAAGAAATTGCTCAACCTCCTTAGCCATCAGGGAAATGCAAATCAAAACAACTCTGAGATACCATCTTACACCGGTGAGAATGGCTAAAATCAAAAACACCAACAGCAGTTTATGCTGGAGAGGATATGGAGAAAGGGAAACCCTCCTCCATTGCTGGTGGGAGTGTAAATTTATATAGCCACTTTGGAAATCATTATGGTGGTTTCTCAGGAAAATGACAATCAGCCTACCTCAAGATCCAGCAATTCCACTCTTAGGCATATACCCAAAGGATGCACATTCATGCAATAAGGACACCTGCTCAACTATGTTCATAGCAGTATTATTTGTAATAGCCAGAAGCAACCTAGATGTCCTCAACTAAAGAGTGGATAGAGAAAATGTGGTACATCTACACAATGGAGTACTACTTAGCAGAAAAAAAAAATGGAATCTTGAAATTTGCAGGCAAATGGATGGCACTGGAAGAAGCCATCCTGAGTGAGGTAACCCAGTCACAAAAAGACAAACATGGTTTGGACTCACTCATATATGGATTTTAGACATGGATCAGGTGATTGGCAGCCTACAATCCCACTGCCAGAGAGTCTGGGAAACAGGGAGAACCCTAGGAGAGATATGCATGATAACCCAGAGAAGGGGAATGAGACAAGATCTCCTGACGAGATTGGGAGCATGGAGGGAGAGGAGGGGAGAGGAAAATGGGAGAAAGAGAGGGGGAGAAGAGGAGGGGAGAGGAGGACATGGGGGAGCAGGAAGGTTGAGTCAGGATAAGAATAGAGGAGAGAAGGAGGAGAGATACCATAATAGAGGGAGCCATTATAGGTTCAAAGAGAGATCTACAAGAATGACACCAACTAGCATTAAAGCTACCTTAAATGCCCTCCCCTGATAATGAGATTAATGATTACCTTATATGCCATCCTAGAACCCTCATCCAGTGGCTGACGGAAGCAGAGGCAGACACCCACAGCTAAAAACTGAACTGAACTCCTGGAACCGAGCTGCAAAGAGAAGTAACAAGCAAAGGAATCAAGACCCAGCTAGTGAAACCCACAGAGGCTGCTGACCTAAACAAGGGGGAATGCATGGACTCCAGAATGATGACTGAGAGGCCAGCATAAGACTTACCTAGACCCCCCCTCAACGTAGGTTTAAGAGAGGAGGCCTCAACAATCTGTACAGTGAGTTCAAGGCCAGCCTGATCTACAAGAGTGAGGTCCAGGACAGCCTCCAAAACAATACAGAGAAACTGTCTCGAAAAACAAAAAACAAACAAACAAACAAAAGAATGGGGAGAGGTCACATGTGACATAAAAGTAGAAAGGAAGCTACTGGAATTGCAGTGTTTAACTGGGGGAGGGGGAGGGGAAGAACAAAGGGAAAGAAAAACAACAAGGACAAGTTTTGTTGAAAAAGTTATAATAAAGCCCAATTCTTTGTAAGCTAATGAGAAATGAAAAATAAAACTAAAAAGACTCAGTCAAGTGCAGTTGATGAGAGCTTCAACTGAGAAAGATTCAATAAGCAGACTGTGGATGCAAGCACACGCACACCCACAGGAAAACACACACACACACACACACACACACACACACACACACACACACCTGGAAACTAACACTTCCCTGATATTCTGCTAAAGGAAGC